GGCTCTGGTTGGCTGATTCTAAGCCCCTAACGCCCCCCCCCCCCCCCCCCCAACCGAACTGGACCGTTACAATCCCCTAGTCTGACCTCGGGTATAACACAAGCCAGAGAACTGCCCCTGCCGAATGCCTAGAGCAGAGCAGTTAGAAACCCATCCAGCTTTAGGGCCTTCTCTAATGATCAGACACTGGCTGCCCTTGTTCATCTCCTTGCATGATGGTTTCTTTTCAGTGGCCTATGCTGGGCCTGACCAGAAGGGGATGCTCTGATCTCCTGGCACTGTGCCCACCATGCACTGCTCCTGGCTGGGAGAAAGTGCCTGGCAGACATGCACCCAGCTGTGTGATCCTTTTCTGCCAGCTTGCCAAAGCATAGGGGTTATGGGGCTCTACAGCGAGCCCTGCAGGGGCATCAAGCAGCAGTGCTGGGAGACAGTGGAGTCAGTCAGTGACCCTGGCACTAACGGAGCGGAGGCCCTTAGCCAACATGTCTGCGGAACAGGCTGTTGGGCTCAGCCCTCCCTGCCAGCAGCTGGGTGACATGAAGTCATCAGTGTGGGGCAGGAGATGGGATTGCACCCCAGCAAGGCAGCAGGACCCACCGATTGCTCTCTTCCCCCCCACCAGCACTCTGGACTTTCCTGTGGTTCGTTGGCTTTTGCTTCTTGACCAACCAGTGGGCTATGACGCTGCCGAGCGAGGTGCATGTGGGCGCTGACTCGGCCCGAGCTGCCATTGCCTTCAGCTTCTTCTCCATCTTCTCCTGGGTGAGTGGGGCTTTCCCAGCCCGCAGATCTCTTCAGGGCGAACCTCTCTTGGGGTGGGGGCTTTGAGAGACTCGGGGGCCGGAGCCACATCAGCCTGGAACGGGCAGTGTTACTGTGGCTTCCTGCTGCCACTGCCTCCCAGTACCTGGGCCTGCCCAGGAGCAAAAGACGCTTGTAGCCCTCCCGAGGGGACTGGCTTTGCTGACGGCTGCTGTCTCTTTCTAGGGGTTCCTGATCACCTTTGCTCTCCAGAGGTACAGAATGGGAGTGGAGGACTTTACTAACAGCTACACTGACCCCACCCCTGACCCTTCGACCCCCTACTCAATTTACCCCAACGTCACTCACGACAACTACCAGCAGCCGCCCTTCACCCAGCCTGGAGAGACCTCGGAGGGCTACCAGCCCCCTGCGTACTGAGCCCTGTGCCGTCGACCACCACTAAAGTGGCCAGCAGGGATAGCTGCACAAGTGCGATTCTTCTGTGGGGCAGGGGCTGTCTCTTGACTAGGGGTGGGGGTAGGGGATTGGTGGCTGCTTAGTGTGTGAAGGGCACCAGGGTTTTGGAGTTACCATGCCAAAGGAGAGGGAGGTAGCTCCCTGGTTCCTGGCAGAGCCCAGGGCCTGAATGTGGGGAGGAGGCTGTACATGTAACTTGCCCCCAGAGCTGCTTGCTGGCTCTGCCTTCCTGAAAATCAAGTACTCTCTGACTGGGGGCGGGGCTTCCTTCTCGTTCATTTGGGTGACTGCTGAGCGCATCCGTGCACTGGGGACTCCTTCCTATTCAGGAAGGGAATTTTGTCCCTAAGCCTTCACCCTGGCCCCTCCCCAGCTGTGCCAATGGAGTGTGGGCAGTTAGATTCTTTCCCTCACAACAGCACGGAATGACTATTTCCTCTCGTGTGGTTGAGACAGCATGGCGAGATTTAAACACCCCCCAACCCTGCCCATGGCTACATCCGTGTAACTTCAGCTCTAGCCCTGGTGCCTTTACTAACCCTGCTGGCTCGGATTCCCTAAAGTGCCACCACACTTTTGTATCCGGTGTCTTAATCCCCAGCTGCCACTTTGCTCGGTGGGGTTCAGTGCCTGGGCCAGCAGTTCCTTGTGACTGCACCTGCAGTTCTGCTTCTGTGCTGGGTACGGGGGGTTCCTGGGCTGCCTTCCATTTCTGCTGCTGGGTGAGCTTGGTGCCAAAGTGCAGGACTAAACTTTTTGTA